GTTGTTGTATTTGTTACCAATTTTTTTCAAAACCGATTTATCTCGCAAACCGTTCATTTTTTCGAAATAAATAAAGAGTACCATTTTTAAAGAAAAACCTTCAGAGTATCTAATAATAATATTTTCAGTTTGATAAAATTACTTCTGTCAAAATTTTGAGAAAAATTGTGATAGGGCCAGTCCGTTTCTGGACACCTGATAATAGCAAAAAGTTGATTTTAGCATCAAATCGTAGAGCTCCATGTGTAATACAACGTACGAAAATTTTATTAAAATATACAGGGTGGTTTCAAAGTTATAACTCTAAACGTTAATTTCTAGGTACCCCTTTGACCCCCCATAACTCCGTTAGGGGGCACATTAGGAAAAAAAATTATAGGAAGGACTAGTTTTATTTTGACCTCCCCTATACACTCCCGAGAGATTAGGAGGTATTTACCGGACACCCTGTATATTCATTATATTCAGTGATACTATAAAAGCAATTAATCGTCAAAAAGTTTTTAGTTAACTCATAAAATTTCCTGTATCCAAACGATCTCACATTCATATTCCTATGATATTTCATAAACTTGTTGTACAGACTATATCTACCTTATTTAACTTATTGTGACTGGCTTTCAATCAGAGTAATGTGAAACACATCTTTTGCCGTTCAACAAAATAATCGCGGTCTCTTAATTTTCTTTTAACGGTATTATTTCCCTTCTCCAAAATTTTGACCGATCAGAAATGTTTGATTTCTCAAGTTCCCGTCTTTTTAATTAATCTTTGCTCGCTGGTTTAATATTTGTGAGTAAGGATAATATCTTCAATATTCAGAAGCATTAGATGGATTTTTTTTAATTTTGAACATTTGAGCATGTCTTTGACAAAAAAAAATTATAGTATTAATTGTCTGAAAAACTGTACTAATGTTAAATTTGTTACCAATTCTCCTTATTTTTTCTGATAATACCGTATATTCCTATGTATGGAATTTTAATTGTGGATGTAGTTTTCCTTGTGTCAAACAATAAAGGTATACTCTGTATCTCTAAAATTTTTTATGTGGATTTTTTCTATAATTCTTCTATCAGCTGTTAAAGTTTTAGTACAAATATTTTACTCGTTCTGTACACAAAAACTGACTTTTTTATTTATATAACATTAGCTTCATTTTGCATTTATTTTCACATAATACTATTATATTTCTAAGAGTGTCTCGCAAAAGCTTTGATTCTTTAGGAAAAACGTGCTGAAATAGTCGCCGTAATATGACGGTACTGAGGTCACGTAGCGTTAAAAAAAAGAAAATCGTAATGATGTTGAGCACAGGTGTAGTGTTTCTATACATGTTTTCTTCCAAATGATTTTGGAAAAACGCAGGTACTTGTTGCGTGTCGCTAAAGTGTACATACACAAAATATTTAATATAACTACAAATATAGCAAAAGAAATTAAGCTTAATTATACAGGATGATCCATTAACGGTTCGGAACGGCTGTATATAGGAAACTAGACGTGCTACGATTATGGGGTAAAAAAATCTATTAACAAATACGGACAAAAGAAATTTATTTAAAATATTTTCAAGTTTGTAACTTTACCGCCAGAGGGCACAGCTGCTTTAGTGCTACAATTGTCGTTTCTTCGAAATCGATAATACACTTTTTAGATACACTGTTAAACCCTTCATAAGTTTTGTTTGAACTTTTTTTTTTTGTTATTACCATAGCAACGCCAGTACGAAGAACGCCTTCTTGAGATTTTTAAATTGTCATAACTTCTAAATACCCTGTACATAATTAATTATGTTGACTGTAATTGTTTAAAATGATAATTTTTTGACAACTTTTGTCTATCCCTTTTGAACTAAGAAAATACCTATATCATAATACAACTAAATACTAGACCACTTCATTTAATATACAGGGTTAGAACTGTTTAAAGGGAGACTACAGGGATATCGGAAACCGTTAGTCATACAGGGTGGCTCAAATTACAAGAAAGTTGCACAATTATGGGGCGAGTGTTTTGGTGAAAACAGATCCAAGATATCTTCGATAGTTTCTTAGATATCTCGAAAAAAGTGAAAATATCGATTTTCTATTTTTCGTTATTACTCATTTGTTTTTTAAGATAACGTCACGAAATTTTGTATCTAGGTATTATCCAACATGGCGATTTCAATGGTGAGTTCAGATTTTTTCTATCTTCCATTGTTTCAGGGTCGCGATAGTCAACTTTTTTTTCTTATGGACGCCATATTGGTTCTCCTCATGGATGGATAAAGAAAAAAAACACAAATTCAACGATGTATCACACTTTACAAAAATATCCTGTCTGCCTGCAGCAATTTGAATTTCTTTTTAATTTTTCTGAAATAGTAGGCTGATGTCCGAATTGTCATTTTCTTTAGTGTAAAACATGAAATGTAAAATATTATTACTGTTACGATGTTGTTCTGTATCAAACAATAAATAAAATATGAAGTAAATAAAACAAACCTTTTATTATACAAAGCAAATTAAACTCAAAACAAAAACAAATTAAAAAAAACTCAGTGTAAAATATGTTCAAAGTGATTTCCTTCATTATTAATACAAAGCCTCACTCTTTCAGAAATGCACTGGTCGAATTTGTTTGAGAGTTATGGACATAATGAGTAATTCTGTTGCGAAGCTCATCTACAGTGTTTATGGTGGTTCGATAAACATAATCCTTTAGGACACCCCAAAAGAAATAATCCATAGGATTCATGTCCGGAGTTCTGGCCGGCCAATTAATGGGTCCGTCTGTCCCAATCCACTGTTCACCGAATTTGTTATTTAAAAATTGTTTCTCTTGCAGGGTACTATCTGCTGGAGCACCATCATGCTGATATTAGCATTCCACATAACGCATAACTGGCAATGTTTGCAGAAATTCCTCTACATAATTTTGTAGAACGTCCAAGTACTTAGGCCCATTTAATGTACAGGGTGATTCACTATATTTTGACCCCCCTTTAACTTTTTTGTTTTAAGAGTTATAAAAAAATGTGCAATGCAAAAATTGCACTATTTTTTATGAAGTTTTCGAAAATGATGTAGAAAAACAAATGAAGTTCAAACAAAATGGCCCCGGATGTTAACTTTGTTAATTTAAATGGAACACCATGTTATGTTTTACACTAAAGAAAATGACAATTCGGACATCAGCCTACTATTTCAGAAAAATTAAAAAGAAATTCAAATTGCTGCAGGCAGACAGGATATTTTTGTAAAGTGTGATACATCGTTGAATTCGTATTTTTTTTCTTTATCCATCCATGAGGAGAACCAATATGGCGTCCATAAGAAAAAAAAAGTTGACTATCGCGACTCTGAAACAATGGAAGATAGAAAAAATCTGAACTCACCATTAAAATCGCCATGTTGGATAATGCCTAGATACAAAATTTCGTGAGGCTATCTTAAAAAACAAATGAGTTATAACGAAAAATAGAAAATCGATATTTTCACTTTTTTCGAGATATCTCAGAAACTATCGAAGATATCTTGGATCTGTTTTCACCAAAACTCTCGCCCCATAATTGTGCAACTTTTTTGTAATTTGGGCCACCCTGTATGACTAACGGTTTCCGATATTCCTGTAGTCCCCTTTAAATAGTTCTAACCCTGTATAATTTGTTAAAAATTTTAATGTTCGCGATACCGCAAATGCGACGTTGCCAAAGGAATTTTTTATTTTAATTTCAAGGTTTTGTAGTCAAGTGTTCTCACTGCATACCAGCTTTCCCCAAAGTTGAAAAGTAAGTCGATTTTTATTGAAAACGCCTCAAGATTGAAATCAGTTTCAATGTTTTTACAGCATAGGGCTGAATGTTAACAAACAACAATGAATAGTTAGCCGTTGCAAGTGTTTATCTCCGTACCATTTCCCGTCAAAGTCTTTGCCGCATTTTTACGTTTTACAATCATATCATATACATCTATCAGAAAGTTTTTTGTGACATCGTTTAATTGCGGCCATTTATTACGGCACCGATTCCCTAGAAAACCAAAGTTTAAACCACTCATGCACAACAATGCAATAATGTCTATTTTTTTTAGCATCCTTTAGCAAGGTAAAACTGTTTGTCGGATTGCCTCCGTTCGACAAATCGGCGTGCATAGAAAAATACAGGATTTACAGAATATATCTCAACGAGTCACAGGTCTGCGCGGGAGGTGAAGAAAATGCGGGCAGCTGTATTGGAGATTCGGGAGGTCCCCTGATGATGCAAAAAGATAACACTTGGTACGCTGCGGGTGTGGTGAGCTTCGGAGCAGGCTGTGGAATGAGGGGATTACCAGGAGTATACACGAACATTGCCAAGTTCCTACCATGGATCAAGTCTCAAATGATAGAATAAGAGAATAATTGAAGAAAAAATGCTGACCATCATGCAGACAACATAGTCATGAATATTTACACAATAGAGTAGTTTCCTTCAACCGCAAAAAAATGGAAATGTTCATTCCTCAAAAATATATATATTTTTTAAATATATGCTTTTTTATTGTAATTCGAAATATTATTTTATTTGCTTGACGTCACTAAACGAAAAATTAAGAAAACCATCACATGTCTGTTGGCATACTGATGCAGTTGCAGTTTCTGCATAAATTTGTTGGGTAGTATCTAGTATAAGTAATTCTGCGGCCTCACTAGAGGCCGCTGCGGTCTCCTCGATAAAACAAGGCCACAAAATGAAATTGAGACTAACCTTCTCTCAAACCAGTTGACCCCTATGTTTTTGAGATCGCTGATCACGATCCCGGTATTCGTATAACCCGAGCACGTCTGTATCAAGGTTAAATGAATGTCAAATTTTGTTTTTTAAATAATATAATTTTTTGAGCCCGGAATCGGAAACCGAGAGAAATTTTACGTCCAAATACATGTTGACCAGCTGGTGGAAGTGACCTCTGGAGATTATCTGGAGGTTTCGATCATTAGTTGTTTTTGTACCTAAATAGTTGTATTAACATACGCATTTACTGAGAATTTAATTTTTCAAAATTAATTTGTTTAAAAATGACCTTGAAAAAATGTTAATGTTTATTAAATTGTTAAGATAAAAAGAAGATAGCGGCGATGCGTTCTATTACTCGGTCTAGCGAAGGCGTGGGGAGAGCGAGGCGGAGCAGGCGCGGGAAAATGATCGAGCGGCTTCAAATCGATGGATTTGGAAAAATTAGCCATATCTCGGTTAATAATGAACCTATCGAGATGATTCTTTTTTTAATTTGTGGTAGCGCGAAAATTCATGAGCATTCAAACTATTGTATTAACATTATTTCAACCCGAGATTTAATTTTTTATTTAGCCTCCCTCTTCCCACTCGTTCGCTAGACCGAGTAATAGAACGCATCGCCGCTATCTTCTTTTTTACAATTAAATGGCTGAATTCACCTTAATGTTAATGTAGGACATGAAAATATAGCTTTTAATGTATGCTCTCTCCAAATTTCGGTTCTTAATAATTAAGGACACTGCGATTAAATAAAAAAAAATTTTCTCAGCTTGTAATCAACTTAGAACAACAATTTTATTTTAAATTCGAAGAAAAATAGTACTAACTAAACTATAGACGTTACTATTTCATTTTATAATAATTACCTATCTTAACGATTTAATAAATATTAACATTTTTTCAGTCATTTTTAAACAAATTAAATTTGAAAAATTAAATTCTTAGTAAATGCATATGTCAATACAACTATTTAGGTACAACAACAACTAATGATCGAAACTCTGCAACGCCTTTAAGCTTGGGAAAAATCTATTGAAAATGGCATCTTCTTATATAACAAATTCCGCCAACGCCAAACTAATGAAGCTTTCGGGCTGAAATTTTTACTACTTATTAAGGGTGCAAAAAGCCTCAAAAATCCTGAATTATAAGTGTCTGCGATGAAAATTGCATTAATTATATTAGCAATTGAAAAAAACGGCCATTTTCGACCATTTTTGAGCTCTTGCGCATAAACAAATTATCGGAATTTAATCAGACTTGTTTTATTTTACAGATTTATTTAATACCTACCTTTTTGCATAAACCTTTTTTCTCTATGAATAATAGTTTTTTTACGCGAGTCAAAAAACCACTTTTCCATAACTTTAACCATCGTTTTAACAAAGTTTCCCAACTAGTCTCGAGTTGATTTTTTGATATTTTGTTTATAACACGTTTCTGAACAATATTCCGCAAAAAACTTCTAATAGTATTTTTTTTCCAAAAAAAAGCTATAATGACTGGCTTATTACAACTATTTAAAAAAATATAATTTCATATTTCAATAAAAGTGGCCTGATAAATAAAAATAATAATTATTTGTGTTTAAAGTTTAAACATTAGTTAACATTTATTAATAAGACCACAGACAAAATAGCTATCGCCACAGACCGCTCCTGGAATAGGCCAGCAGTTTTAAATTTCCGAATTGCCGGTAGAGTACACCACCAGCAGAATTTTAGGAAGAATCAAATACAGCGGCCCGCATATCTAAGCGTATCCTAGCAACATATAAACAAGACTTTGGTAATGTTGCCAGGCGTACTTACGGATTTCTTTTGTACACTTTTTTATCAATATCTGTTTTTTGCGTTACTGTATTTACTTCAATGTATGATGTAGGTATTGATAAAAATGTTTTTAAAGAATCAACGAATATCTNACATTTAAGGCAAATGTGATTTCCAAACACAAGATAAGTTCCTTATCTCTTTAATTACATAATTGAAAGCATTAAATTTATTTAGTAGTTATTATTTGGCAACAAAGCCACCGCTGGAACTGCCGCCTATTACCAAGTAGAAGAGTTACCACGCTAAATTTTATAGCTGGAAGCCGGCTAAGGAGACCCTGCTTCCATTTCGGGTTGCCAATTTCCAGTATTTAAGGAGCAGTCTGTAGCGATACGCTATATATTGTCTGTGATAAGACTAACAAATCTGAAGACTATAAAAATTGTTCAAAATGTCCACTCGAATGTTAATATAAACAAGGAAAATTAAAACTGGATGAAATCTACCAGTGTACAACTTCTTTGCGATAAATTTTAACCCAAATGATGACACGTCTATATATATCGAAAATGTTTCTTAGTACTGTTAATCACTAATATTTTTTATTTTGGTCTGATAAATTTTAGCTTATAATTAATTACGCAATAGGGTTTTCCAATACTGTCAAAGATTTATTCCCATATTTGCATACAAAAATGTTTATTAATTTTTTATTAAGCTACTAGCAACACGATATTATTAAACTGTGATAGCAAACAATGTTATAAAATATTTCCTCCGGGATTATTAACGAATCTAATAATTCCGAAATCATTTTTAATAATAGATTGCAAAAATTCACACTGTTGATTTAGAATATTTATTCTGAAGCACTTACTTCTTATGTGTTTTGCATGTAGTTTCTTAATGTAAATAAAAATAATGAGTGAAAAATCGAGGGAATCAGATATAGAATTTTATAATACTCCACTTGAAATTACAAATTACGCAAATAATATAAGCGAGAGCCTGCTGCCGCAAAAATCGGGACATGAATATGAAAAGTATTATGCACTGTTAAGGGATGATAACAAGAAAAGGAAACATACTCCTTTTCCGAAAATGTTTTCATTGCATTTTTCGATGATTTAAAGGACTTTGCGCCCAATCCATCTGATGGGAAAAGTTTCATGTAAAAACTGACGAACCGCAGCAATATGTGAGATGAAGCACCATCATGTTGCATCCACATTGTCCGAAGTGTAGCTAAAGGAATGTCGCCTAACAAATCTCCTAGGGTGTTTGCTAAAAAGTTTAAATAAACTGCTCCAGTTAGATGCTGGTCAAAAAAGAATGGTCCAATGATATGGGTTTCCAAAGTTGCTCCCCAAACGTTCAAAGACCATCGATCGTTGGCTATGAGTTGTCCAGAATTGGTGAGGTCTCATAATAATGGCAATTATGATTATTAACGAAACCATTTTTATGAAAAGTACAGTGGAATCCGTTTATAATGACATCGAAAGGAATTGACAAACACGTCATAATAAGCGGACGTCATACAAAGCATACTGTGAAAAAAAAAAACCTTTTTTATGTAAATATGTACTTAAGTATTTTAATAGAGAAACATAGNATCTCAAGTGTCCACTGACAAAACTCTAGTCTCCTCTGAAAATCTACTTTTAGTAACTCTTGGTGTAATTGGATGCGATAAGGATGTGCTGTGCTGTGCTTTTGTAACATCCTATGTATCGACGTTATACTAATACAATAATTGCAAGGCCTTCTTGACGCTATTACATAACTACTTTTTCGAACTTTAGAAAAGAACCTGATTTATCTGGAAAACTGTTAGAGATAAGTATGGACAACCTCATATCAGTCGAAAGGCCATTGAATTTTGCATTCACCTATTACAATTAATATGGGTCATTCCATTTGAAAAAAAGGTTTTTTAACTCGTAAGATGTAGGTTTCAGTATTTCCGAGTCTGAATAACGTACACGTTTTTCTCGCAGATGACAAGATAGAGTAATTTGTGCCAAAACGAACTATGAAAACTGCAGGTTTATAACTATTACGGTTTAGACGCTATCTAGTCTCATTTAGAGTTGAAATCGTATTTTTTTTTTCAAAAACAGCTGATTATCTCGATTACAATGGTAAGTTTTAAACACCATGTACTTTTAAACTCTACCTAAATTAACCAAGGAATTCAAAAACGTAATAATGTACAGGGTGTTTCATTTCCTACAAAGTTATGCAGCGCCTACTCGAAATGGCTAAAAATATTTTCTTTGCATACCCACATGATACCAGGCAACTTTTATTAAAACAATTTTTATTATAAATTTTACAGTTACTGAGTTACAGAAGAATCCCTTTTAGGTGGAATAGCCTTTATAATCCTAAAGGCAATGATGATAGCGAAGCAGCAAAGTGTAGCAAAGAAATCGAAGATTTTTACAGAAGAAAATGTTAAGCTATTCTTAGAAAATGCTCCAGATGAGATATGTTTAGCTACAAAGGTAATAAAAATCATAATTTATGTATATAATGTAGTTTCTATTTTTAGGTCGCCCTTGTTTTTGATGTTTTGGGGCTTGTCGCAAGAATGAGCTTTACAACATTATTTCCGACATAAAAAATTTGGGATCCGCAATACTAATTGTAATTCCTAATACAAAAATTAAAAAACCAAGAGTTTACAATCACGGAAGATTTTTATAATATTATAAAAAATACTGGGCTTTGATACCTTATAATGTTCCTTCTGGTATTTTTTTATTAATTTCCAAAAAAATAAATGTACCTACACGACAAATAATTGGGAAATATAAACTGGGCAAAGTGCCAAAACAATTTGCCACATTTCTGAATCTAGACAACCCACAAAAGTACTGTTGTTTCCGTCATACCGCAGTGACTATGTTGGTAAATGCAGGTGCGGATATTACATTAAAAGGGCATGAAGGTTGGAAGTCTTCTCAAGTAGCAAAATGATACATACAAAATTCTCTGCACAATCGAATAAATAATAGCAAATTAATTAGTTTCTTCAAGTACTGGATCTAATTCGTTAGTAACCGTACCCTCAACCTCCAATTCTTTCTGCCACGCGACTGTTAAGTCTGCCTCTACAAATCAATCTGTTTTGAAAAATATTACAGAGAATATTTCCTGTACACCAGTTTTTAAGTTCAGAAATTGTACGACTAAAAATATAAATATTAATACAGTGTAATATAAATGTCTCAATAAATAACTTAGTTTGTTTAGATTTAATTAATAGGACTTTTTTTAAAATTCGTTGCTTCGCCATTTTTTAAGTTGTAGAGATGACCCTGTGCGCAAAAGTAGTGGAATTATGTGCACAAGTAGGCACTTAGTTTTGGCACAATAATTGCAATTTGAATTTTTTGAAGCACTATTTTGCAAAGTTTCTGGATGCGTTGAAGGTGGTCCGATTTTAATTTTTCAGCCGGAATTTAAAAATATGTCTTTTCCAAGATGGCATGCACAGTCCGTTTGCTACTAGTATTTTTGTCATAAAATCACTGATTTAATGTTCTACTGGTTGGCCTATTACTATAAAATATAGGTACTATTATACTTACATCATTCTTTAAAAATTTATGAACATATATTTAAATCTATCCTATGGTTCATAACTATGTGTATTACATTATGTTTAATTCTATCAAATGAGATATTAACCTTAGGCCCAGTATTTTGAGTCTCGGTTAAGGCTTGATTAACTAATCAGGCGATTAGACTGTGATTATACTTTATAAAATAAATCAGTATTCTGTGTTGTCTTAATGTAATAAACTGCATATCAAACAATTCTTTAATTGATTTAATTGACGCAGAACCAGTGCTGGATTGCTTGGAAGGGCACCTATTGAAAATTTTACTTAAAGAACTTCTCGCAAAGATAAATTTGAAGATATAAATGGTCGCTTTTAAATTTCATTTATAATTATTACTTTCATTCTGCCACACTTTCCAGAACTCTAAGATGCATGTTTTTACTGAGCTTGAACAGAATCCGGCTCAGGAGAGTGACAGGACTCATAACGGGACACTGTCACTTTAGGAAACATCTACATAAGCTAAAGCTTGTAGACAGTCCGGTCTGTCGAGGATGTGAATCGGCGGATGAAACTTCTCTGCATATCCTGGGCGAGTGCCCGGGATTTGCACGTAGCAGAATGGCGCTCCTTGGGAGACCCTGTTTGGAACCCAAGGAACTGAGAGAAGTGTCAGCGAGGAAGCTTTTGAACTTTGTAAAAAGGACAAATCTACTTGCTGAATACGACTAGTAGTGGGACGCACAATAGGCCTAATCAGGCCGCAGTGCTATGGGACTTATTAGCACCAACCACTAGAAGAAGAAGAAGAAGAAGAAGATGCATGTTGGTAAGTAGTAGGAGCCACTCTCCAGTCTATGAATTGAAGGACTATTGGGTCCTAGAATCACGATGCAAAGACATATGTTGCTGCGCATACACGCAGCCATGTTGTGACGTCACGTGGAGAGTAAATAGCGATTTATATTGTGCGTGTTTGTGATCGATTTATATGAAACTTCTATTAATAATAACATTATGAAATACGCTGTTCCCTGTCTGGTTGTACAGACAACCAAAGCAAATCCTTTAATGAGGACATCAGGTTTTCCATTTTCCAAATAATGAAAAATTAGACGTAATTGTATATTGAACATAAAAAATATTTAAATTTGTTGAGGGCATTTGAAAACATAGGGCTATATCAGTAATCTCCAAATGATTAATGAAACAGACTTATCTAGCAAAGTTTGCCAAATAATATGTCTGAATCCAAGACAGATTCTGAAAAACCCGTACAAGAAGAAAACTTTATTCAATCACTTAAATCTTTCTCTATGTTACGTTCTTCAATCTCCCAGCCAAAATTCCTGCTGGCTATCGACAAACCGGTATGACCTTAAATTCGGTAAGCAGTCTTTCGTACCACCTTAAGACTCCATTTAGTAATATGATAGAAAAGCAGGTCTTATTATTATTATTATTAGTTGTTTAACGATTTTGGACGTTTCGAAACACAAAAAAGTGTTCTATGCTTTCTGCTTTGACCGAATAGGCTGTGTATTTTAATGTGCTAAATCCGAATCTGAAGTCTGTTTAACTCAAACACCTCCAAAATTTTGAGTAATTGGCAAAAAATAGTAAAAAATCGCAGAAAACCACGTGAGAGCAAAAAAAATTCGAAAAAATTTGTTCTGGACTTGATCAAGTGGTTTTCTTATATAATTGGATGTACTGAATCCAAATTAATGAGAGTGAAAAAATTTAGAAAGAAGTTTTCTGCATTGGATCAAGATCATAAATTTTGTCGAATTCAATTTGAATCTAAAGACTGTTGTGCGTTATTCCCCAAAAATTTAGCAATTACTCAAAAACGGGCACCCTGTTATACAAAATGCACTTAACGTACGTTACTGTCCAAATCTTGAAAACAAAACTAATCGTAAGTTGATAAAAATTATATGAAAACAGACCGCAACGAAGTTAGTGCGAATATACGCTTAAACACAGCATAAATACGTTTGAAACTGGGGTCATCAAGATAAATCTGTGATAATGTATAATGCTTACGAAATAATCTTCCTGATTTTATGGCTAACATTACAAACTGCATATGCACGTAAGTAAACATTTTTTTACATTCTTATAGTCATTTCATAATTTGTTCCGATAATTTTTATTATTTAATGTTAAAATTGCTATTAAACGATATAATTCTTCAGATAAACAATAAAAATCTAAATAATTCAAAACTATGAACAAGTGATATCCATGATACATATTGAACATTAAAAGTCACTATAGCTGAAAAGCATTCACAACTGACATCGAAAATATAACGAAAGACCAAAGCTTTGTTTAGGAAAATAATACCATTCAACTAATAAACAGGAAAAAAAACATTGTAATATTTTTCTCTTCAGAACTGGATAGCTCCTGCAAAACCCCAAATGGAGAATTGGGAACATGCAAATCCATACTTGGTTGCCATGTTCTTCTAGACGCTGTAATAAAGCGAAAGCCGAAGCAAATGGAATTCGTAAAGAAGTCTGTATGTGGACCGAAACCATTAGTATGTTGTGGAAGCCAAGGTAACTGGAAACCAGACAGGTCCGATTGTGGATATCAGGTGAGTAGGTACTGAATAAAGGAAAATACTGTAGGTGCAATTTATTGATTCACAGGCAGAATAAGTAACGAAGATTGTTTGAAACGAAAGGAATATTGGAAGGATTGGTACAAAATTTAAGAAGGTGAAAGTAGAGCCAAAAAATGCATTGGTCCTACGGAGCACCGTTACTGCGATATGTCTTATCTTATCCTTTCGATATTTTGTTAAAATAACTATCTTTCTGACTAAGATAATGGAATGAAAATTGTAGGTAATAATCATATCAAAAGGATCTTTAACTATCATAAGATTCATCAAAATCGGTTGTAAATAAGGATAGTTTTCTAACTACCCTTAACAGAAATTTTCCGTTTTTTTTTTGTTCCATTGTATTATAAAGCAAATAATTTTATTTTTTAATGAATTTATTTTTTGAAGAAAAAATTTCTACTTTTTTCGAATTCTGGGTAGTTTAATCAGAAATAATTATTTTTTAAATAATGTATGACTCAGAACAGTAACTTTTTTTTAACATTTTCACATAATATCTTTCATGGTGACATTTTCGTAGTAATGATACTAATGATTGGCACTTTCGCATGCTATCATTTAAATTCTTACGTTTCTTAGTTGCGATCTTTGTGCTTGACTTTGCATTTCATTCGATTTTTTTTACAATCATGAATATGCCGACATGCATTTTATTTATGGTTTCTCTAATGGAAATGGTCTGGGGACTCAAAAGGAGTATCGGCAACGTTTCCCTGATAGAAGGCAACCTCTGCAAGATTGTTTGGGAAAATTCATGCAAGAACGATGGAATCAGGAGCCCTAACTCCAAGATTTCGTGAATTTGGCTGTCCAAGGAGGCGTAGGCATGATTTAGACGAAGTAATTTTAGAATTTTTTTAACGTAATCCTACTGCACGTCTAAGAAGAGCGCCTGCTCATGATGGTTCATGGTTGTAAAAAAATCGAATGGAATGCAAAGTCAAGCACAAAGATCACAACTAAGAAGATAAAGAAATGTAAGAATTTAAACGATAGCACGCAAAAGTGACAATCATTAATATCATTACTATCATTACAACGAAACTGTCACCATGAAAGATGCCTACAGTGTGAAAATGTTAAAAAAAGTTACTGTTCTGAGCCATACATTATTTAAAAAATAATTATTTCTGGCTAAACTACGCACAATTCGAAAACAAAATTAGTGACATTTTTTCTTTAAAAAAACCTAATTAAATAAAAATAATATTTGCTTTATAATTCAAAGGAATAAAAAAAATTCCAAAAATTTTGTTAGAAAACTATCCTTATTTACAACCGACTTTGATAAAACTTATGACAGTTAAAGACCCTTATGATATGATTATTACCTACAATTTTTAATCCATTATATTAATCTGAAAGAAAGTTATTTTAAAAAATATCCAAATGATAAGGGATTTGGAGGGCCATATCTCAGTAACGGTGCTCCGGAGGACCGATGTTTATAGAAACTTTTTTATTATTTTTAGCTATATTTTCACCTCCTTAAATTTTGTACAAACTTTTCCAAACACCCTGTCTAGGGTTACAATCTTTCTTATTTTAAGAGATACAAAAATGCTTAAATGAGCAAGAATGTGCAGAATTTTAAACCGATCACGAATTCGTTTTTAAATTTATCAAATTCCGAATGGCTCCGAAGATATTCAAAGGAAACCGATTTGATGCTAGTTCGTTTTTTAGTCGCATTTCACTTGGTTTGTATGAAAATGTGTAGGATGGTATAAAATGATGTGAGGAATCGATTTTTGCTGTTAATAGCAACGTATCTCTAGAATTGTGGTAGTCAACTTTTGTTTTCGTTATAGACGATATATTGAATTTTTCCCTCACTAGAAGAAAAGGAAAATCCTCTTTATAACAACGTATATGGTGTTTTCATATATAAATAACGAAGATATTGAATATAATTATAATTTTAATAAAAAAGTCAAGTAGTCATGTGAAACATTT